TTCTTTCCAAAATAATAATACATCCATGTCATCACTTTGTCATCATTACAATAACTTTGACTAATATGAGAACTTAAATAATCATCAATTTCTTGGAATGGATTTGATCGTTTACAAACAATATTGACTTTTGCATCAAAACATTGTACTAAAAGATTCTTTGGTTTTGTTGCTGTATCTGGCGCAGATGCTGATGAAGAAGATTGCAAATCGCCATATGTAGGAGTTAATGAATTTGTGTAAGATAAAGAAATAATTGATTGATGTTTTTTAAATTCTAATTTTAATATATCGATAGATTTTTCTTTTTCATAACGACAACAATCAAAATGTTTTAGTTTTGGATGCAAAATCGTTGCTAATCGATGTTCATCTGTTACTGGCGAAGCATTATTCAAACGTCGCGCTAGAATTTTATAAATAAAAGTGTATATCAAGGTAAAAAAATGTATTAGAGAAAATTTAAATGGCTTTTATGGACAAGCTTAGGAAACACTTAAATTGATATTTTTCTCATCTAAAAATACTTTCAATTGAACCACACCATTTGAATCATCTTCTTTTACTTTACATTTATTTCTCTATGACGAGTAGGCTGCTCATCATCACTCAAAGCCTCAACCACTTCTCGAAAAGGCTCGAGAAAATTACAAACGTCATCAAGCAGATCTTTCTCAATCAAGTTATAATTCATCATAAAACTACTATTAATTAATGCTGATTGTAATTCAAAGAAAAGATCTCGAAAATTATCCATCATTATTAAACCACCATTAAATCGAGTTTCACTGTAAGAGACACGTTTCTTGGATAAACTTTCTTGTTGATTTGAACGTCTTACATGACAAACAACCTTTTAAACTTGATTAAAAAGATTTTGAACACTGTCACAATCAACCTTTTCAATTACGTTTTTATTAACATGTATTTATTCTGATTCAAAAGCATGCTGAAGTTGTTTGTTTAAATAATGGTCAGCACATCCTATACAAATACAACAATCACGAAATGTTGCGATCATTTTTGGTTGACTGTAACAGACGACATATTTTGTTGCATCTAGTTGTAATTTAAATTCTTCTAATTTTTTAATAATGAATTCTCGAAGATGTGGTGCAGAATGACTGGCTGCATCGTATGGGAAGCAGTCAAGAATAAAACTGAACAATTGAAAATTATTATCAACATATCTAATAGCAATACTGCAGTAGCTAATGCCTAAACAAATGTAAAAAAAACAGTGAGAGCATTCCCAGCTTCAGTATTAACAGGTACAATGTTCAGCGATCTAACCTGTATAACTTTCTGTCCATTGATCGACAACTCAACAATAACTTTTCAGTTGCTCGCAAATATTTACCAAATGCAATTTATATTCTTCATAAAGTCGACTAACATTTCGACCAGTCTAAAAAGATAACATTAATTAATATGAATAATTTGTTCCAATACTTTATTATTCTTACTGTTGTTGGATGTGGAAGAAGATCTTTTATTTGAATTGAAGATTTATACATTGAACGACCGGCATCAAATAAAACATTTGCAAGATTCTGAAAACCATCACTTGTTATCAGATTGAATGCCCGACTATCTGTAGCACAAAATTCTGTACATGCTTGTGTAACACGTAATTTTAATTGTTTTGGAATTGTTGTTTGCTTTGAAGAAGAATAAAAATCATGAACTGTTTGTTGATGTGCACCTATTGATTTATCTTTTCGTTATACACATGAATGGTGATGAGATTTTAGAGTGTTTGTCCCACTTGTAGGTGTAACAAGTAATAAAGTTTTACATGTATTACAAGATACAAATTGTTGTTGATGATCGTTCACGAAAATATGATGATAAAACTGCCACAATTCACTTGTTTTTGATGTTACTTTCTTTTGGACGAATTTCACTGATTCATCTCGATCTTCTATCAATTTTTGAAGTTCCTTTTTTGTCAAAACTTTGTTTGAAATTGCTTCTGTAATTACTGGTAAATCAGCAGAAAAAGTAGTAAGTTCTATATGAATGAAAGCCAGACAACTTCCATTGGTTCACTAATTTATCTTGTGATAATCCATTCGAAGCACGAGAATATCAAGATGTCGCTAAACTACCCCAAAAAAATTGGAATTTTTTGGAGTTGAAGTCAGAAATATCGGTTATGCAGTTCACTAAAGCTATTGTATCAAAAACTCATTCGAAAAACTTTAAACAAACTGTAAAACACCTTTAAAGGTCGTTTTTTGTAAAGACTTTAATTTCCACCCACAGTCTTATGAAATCAGGCAGTTAACTTCAAACATGTCTTCAGTTTTTTTTTCCTCGCTTATTTCATATGGTCAGTGGTGAAATAAACCCAGTTACGTTCTAAAGAACTCGTCCTAGCTATCTCTGGACCTCATCTCAATGTAAATGCCGAACTAGACGCCTTTGCTGCCCTTTTCCAATATGAATGCATTATTTCGGATAAAAAAATCAACTCATTCGCGCCATTTCAAATAAGGCCTTGAAACATCTTTAAAGACCTATCTTCACGAAAACTCTGATTTGTGCGTAAAAATGTAATTGAGCAACAGTGTTCGGTAAAAGATGCCTTGATAAAATCAAATTATTTGACCTACTGAAGGAATCGTATGATGTTTCTGTAAAAAACACCTGAAAGAGAAGGCTATGCTAGAATAAAGTCTTTGAGTCTTTTTCCAAATGAATCTGCGGTGCCAATGGAGTGTCGGTATCGGTTCGGATAGTCTCCTGAAGAACAAACACATCCATACCATTCTTCTAATTTCTACAGATAAAAGCATAAATTGGAAACTGAGGTC